ACAAGTGCGATTGCTTTGATATTACATATATAGGTACTACATGTGGACCTCTCTCAGATTTGTTCATTTTGTGATGATGTTTTCAATTCTCTAATTTTGGTGAATATTTTTGTAATTTTTGGTAAAAAGTGATATTTTCGACTTCTTGTTAAAAACCAATAGTTCAATTGCTTTGATATTACATATTTAGATACCACATGTAGACTTTTCTTAGATTTGTTCATTTCGTGATGATATCTTCAATTCTCTAATTTTGGTGAATATTTTGGTCATTTTTGGTAGAAAGTGATATTTTCGACTTCTTGTTAAAAACTGTAAGTCCGATTGCTTTGATACTATACATATTGTTCATTGTCTAATGATGTCTTCAGTTCTTTAATTGAAATGTGCATTGCTAACAGCGGAGCTATCTCAGCCGATAGGCTGCTAGTTTTATTTTTATGTTGTTTGAAGTATTTTAATAAGTTTTTATTTTGTTCCGCGTTTTTGTAATCTCAAGAAGTAGCAAGAATTATTTTTATTTGCTTGTAATTTTGTTGTGATTTTGCATTATATTTTTCAAAACACGTTCTTCCCATATTTTAAAATGTGGTGTTTTAAATGCACTGCATTGATCTGCCTGCTTTAATTAATAATTAATTAACTGTTAGGGAATATGAAGTACTAACAATATGAGACACATGATAACTTTTCATGACAATGACTTAAACAATAAATGGTGAGTTAATTTGCATAATTACCGTTGTCATTATCCAGTTATGCCTGTGAGCTGACAATACAGTAAGAGAATTTTTACCTGATATAATGTACATATATAAACACGTTTTATTTATATACCAATAATTACCTAAAGACATTATTTATATTTTTTAGTTTTTAAACTTATATTAACATAAAAATAATAATCATCAATTTGATATCTATTTTTCTACCTTAAATGTATAATGATTGCAGACTATCAGTGTTTTTATTGTTCATATTCAAAAAAAGACATTATGGTGATCTTCTCAAACATATTAGATATTCAAAGCCAGCTTAGGATGATGTGTTTCTTTTCACTGAAGCCATTTTAGCCAAATCACCAAGGTAACAATTGTATTAAATTGATTATGACCAAAGGTGATAGGAGAAAAGGGCATGCAACCGAGGTGGCATGAGATAAACATATCAATGTTAGTGAGACATATAGACTGTACTGTACTGTGTGCTGCCTTCAATGGAAGCACAACTACAGTGATTTGTGATTGGTCATAACAAGGTTAATTGACACTTGCATAGGACACTAGTTTGAATTGCGTACATGGTTATAAAAGTTGCATGCCCTTATCTTATCTACCTTTGCTATGACATATTGAGACTAATTTGAATGCTGTCTATAGACGTAGATTGTGACACTTTTTATTTCTCAAAGACTTTCACAAAGATTTTAATTTGAGTTGGGTTTTACCACTTGAATTTATGATATAGTATTTTCATTGCATCTGAATGCTCCAGTTTTTTCACACTGTACTGTAATATAGTACATATTTACAAAATAAAGTGTTTTCTAATGAACAAACAAATTCATACTAGTTATGTGTTGCGCTGTTATGGATACCAAAAAAATTTTTTAATTGAGCACAAAAATGGTCAGTCTTCTTGAATTGTAACACCAGCCAAAATGATATGCATATAGATTTGTAGACAGCTACTAGGAGAGTGACTGTGGTGCAAAACACACAATGGCAGTCTTTGCAGTTAGTGTGTCTCTGTGCGTTTGTCCACCTGTTCTACAGATATCTCAAGAAACATATGTTGGTTTTTGTTGAAACTTGATGCATAGATGCTCTGGGGAGAGTTAAGTTTTGAGTTAAATCCATTTATATCAATTTCCTAATTTGCATGAAGATTTGTCAATTTTTGGCTTTTCCACTGATATCTCAAGTACTAATCATTACATTTCAATGAAACTTTGCACATAGATGCGCTAGGACTATGCACACACCTAATTATTTTTGAATGAAAATCTGTGTTATTAATCATCTAATTTGCATAATAATTCATAATTGTTCAGCTTTTCCATTAACATCTCAAGTTCTTATCACATTTCAATGAAACTTGGTACATTGGTGGCTTGACATTGCGGAGAACTTATTAGTTTTACATTAAAATCTGTGCATAATAATTACCTGATTTGCATGATAATTAGTTTTCAGCTTTTCATCAATAGCTCGAATAATTATCTTTTTCCAATGAATATTGGTACATAAATATACTAAGACAATGTAACTAATTAGTTTTGGGTTTATATACTTAATAGTTTACATTTTGGCTTTCCATCATTTTTTTTAAAGGCTTGGTCATAGCACTGCACATGAGTGACATTTATGTTGATAAACATTGTTTTTCCCACAATCAAATGCGCTCTTCTAATTGAGTTTGTATGAGTTTGGCCTGGCGTGACTTGCACTAACTATTGCCAGTGTGAGATATAAGTCTACTTTAGTGTAGCATTGGACCATGATAGTCTACTGAGTCTACGATGTGAGATACAAGTCTACTTTAGTGTAGCATTGGACCAAGATAGTCTACTGATTCTAC